TGTTATTGCTCGCGGTCGATCTTGCGATCGTTCGAGCTTTGAGAAATTTGCACGTTAGTGTGCCGACTAAAACTCTATTTTTGCTAACCGGGTGCTCCAACAATTAGCTTCCCGGGAGACCTCTGTAACCACTGACGGCTCAGGATGGATCAGGACTAAATACAAATCAGGACTGAATACAGATCAGGACTGAAGACAAATCAGGTCTAAATACGAATCAGGTCTAATGGACAGATGAGGACTGTCGAATAACCGTGTGACATCCACGAGGTCACCTCGGTTATCCCTACCTTTACTTAAGGGTGGGCGGCGAGGAAAAACTGCCCAATCAGGGCAGGCTCAAAACCGAACGCTAATTGGTTACAATGAAGATGGTTGGGAGCTTTGGAAAGGGTACTGCGAACGCCCCCAGATGAGATTCCTCCTCAAGGGAAAATTTGGAAATCTACCCCATCTGGAAGCAATTACGCCGAGTGGTCCAAGTCCCAACCCCGCTAACGGCCTGGTCGTAAATCAAGGATAAGTCCTTTACCGAGGACCACCAAAAAACGGTTGACGGGGTCCATGAGTTTTACCATGTCGAAAACTAACGTTTCCGCCACCGGGGTGACAGGCCCACACCCTAGCCATCAAGGACCCATGTGCCTGGTCCCCGCCGTGAAGCCCAGATGGGGAATCCCTAACACGCGATACATCATCACCGGTACCATTAGATACACATCGTGCCCTGACTGTTTGGGGATCCCAGCGTCACGTATACAATGTGAAACGCGACAAATAAACGTCTCTGATTGGTGGATAAGACGAACCCAAGAAGGGTATAAAAGAAGCGTTTTTTCTTACCGGACTCTCAGTAGAGTTTGGTCGCTCGATCGTTTTCGCCCATATACCTTCTCTCAATAAAGGAATAAAATAAAGTCTTTTTAAGAAAAGAATTAGAATCATATTCATTTTCATTCCATAATCCCAACAGATATAATATCAAATCAATCAATCAGTCAAATATAATATTCATGTTGAAAACTTGATAGCAACTAAGTAATTGCCGATTTGTTCAATGAAATAAATAATTTTTTTTTACTTGGAATGAAGTTTAATCTGTAATGTATTTTCCATTTTGTTTCGCTGCGCCATTATTTTCACTTTATTTTCAATTGCGATGACTGGGAGAAAGAGAAAATTTGTATCTATTGTGTGTCTACGTTTATTTGTATGCTTAAATATTTAATTTCATTTAATTTAACACTTCGCCGGCCGCTTATTTCTCGCATTGCCTTTACGCTGCCGCCGGCGAATTTCGCGCGGATTCTGCTGCTACCGACGATGATATTTACGCTAAAATTAGTGTTACATAAATTTTAATGCGTATTTTTATATCACTTATATTATTTACAAACAAAATTTTAGGTTTAATGTTTTACAAAAATGTCAACAAACATCGTCGCTGCGCTGAGCCGGTGACACGCGTACGTGACCCCGGCCGATAACCGTCGGGGAGCAGAAGTCACGCCAGCGTGACAGCGGCTGGCAAAATGTTAATAATTGTAAACGGGTTCATGTCGCGTTGGTGTGCATAAAGTATAAAAGCAATCGAAACATAATACATAATGCAATAAATCCTCTCTAATTGACGATCAGATTGTGAAGAAAAATGGACAATTTGGGACGAGGAGATACGATTATTCGATCCTTGCGGCTTGTTTTTATAGTTGTTGACAATCGGTAATTATATTATATATATTCAAATTATATCATATATCGAAATTGTCCATTTTTGTGCACGATCTGAGCATTAATTAGGGAGAATTTATCTAGTTCAAATGGACCGTGTTACAAATAATTATATTAAAAGTTGTATACCAAATTTGAGAACAAAATTCATTGGCTTCGATACAGTCTCGATGACAATATTGATGGCAGAACAACAGAGTTCTGTTTAAAAACTTCAAAGAACGGAATAATATTCATACTAAACAGGTTATTAACTTAAAGATCTCTACCGCTAGTTGTACTCGTCAATTAAATGTAAAACGTATTTGGATAACAGAGAATTTTGATGTTGATGACTGTAAAATCCGATTTACTGTTGATCGAAAATCCAGTTTTCATCGTAAAAGATTTTAGATCAACGTGAAAAAGAAAACGGAAATCTTTTGAATTGAGAATTTCAATTGCGTGTCAGACATATCGTTTGTGTTTATTAACCCTAGAAAGATAACCATATGACAACGTACGTAAAAGATAACCATACGCTTCAGAAGCACATGCTTTTCTAAGGCGTCAATTTTATACTAACAATGGATATTTATTTAAGTTAATCTAGTCATTTTAAAGGTTTGGCATTATTGCAAAAATAAAATATAAAAAAATATAATATAAATGCATTTTATTTTTGCAATAATGCCAAACCTTTGCAAGACGACAGCTGGAAATGATTAACCCGAGAAAGATAACCTACGTCGCAGAGGCGCCTGCGAAGACTGTTGATTTTTGTTAATTTTTCATAGAGGTCTAGTGATTTAAGTTTAAAATTACTTAAAATATAAAAAAATATAATATAAATGCATTTTAAGTAATTTTAAACTTAAATCACTAGACCTCTATGAAAAATTAACAAAAATCAACAGTCTTCGCAGGCGCCTCTGCGACGTAGGTTATCTTTCTCGGGTTAATCATTTCCAGCTGTCCTCTTGCAAACTGGTTTCATCATAACGAGCCACTTCTATATCGCGCGAATTCTTTGTTCGACGGTTTGCCTCGTTTCCGAATTCACCGAATATTTCTGCGCGTGTATATTATTATTTTTCGATGACACTCTGTCCTATAACTATAGATTATATCGGAAACGGATACTGATGGAAATCGTATCGATATGAAAGGGTTGCGTGGCGTGTTAATAAAATTGTTTTTGCCTCGCCTAGTTGCGACAGGTTTCAGTGTGATACGTTTTTAATGGTATCCGTTATAACGGAAATAGAAGCCGCGCAACGTTGAAACGAAATCGCACGATTTTAGCGCCTGATATTTGGAGAGGGAATTGCTTGTTTATGATTTTATCGTGTTGGGTTTCATTCTATCCGGATGCGGAATCGAAAAAGAAAAATTAGCACGAGTCTGTTACAAATATTTTGTGAAAATTCAGTATTGTATGTAACACCAACGTAAAATTAATTTAGCATCTTAACAAATTTATAAACGGAAAATATCCGATCCACATCTATAAATATCTGCTGAAAGATGTTTAGCTGTTTAAAATGTTAAATAAAGTATGATCGTTTGAATGTATCTCCGAAAATTGTCTTACGATTTCTACGGATTTCACGAGTCGTTTGAATTCGTTTTAATCCAGGGAAGGCACACGACGAAGAGCGACGTTTGGGCATTCGCAGTGACGCTGTGGGAGATTTTAACGTTCGCGAGAGAACAACCGTTCGAGGAACTTCCCGACCATCGTATCGTCGAGAATGCAACATATTTTTACCAAGAGGATGAAAGGAGGGTAAGTATCACCACTGTATTCCATTATTGTAATTTATCAACCCTCCTTATTCGCCGACCATGACGTTCAATCTTTCGCAAATCACAATGAGTTCGTTAACGATCGTGTTACGTCTGAAAGAAGTGTGCACGCCATCTAAAATTAATCTCAAGTTTCAACGGATATTACATTTTATTACCGGCGCAGGAATGATACAAAGGCGAACAATTAGTTTATATGTGCAAATATTTTAAAAATTGTAGCGACCACAATGTTGTCTTTACGCAACAATATTTCAGAAAACGGAAGTCGTATCGCAATGCAGCAAGAGCCATTTTTAAAAGAATTTTCATATGCAGCGACATACAGCAATTTCTCCCAGAAATGGTCGGAGATCGGAATTGAAACCGGTAAATCTGAGAATACTAAGTCGTGATTCTTCGAGCCTCGCGACTCGTTTTTATAGAAACTCGGGGCAGCGACCAGCATGCCGGTGTACATTAATACAAATTCACGATAATGACAGAGTAAAAACGATGCCTTGACTGTTTTATTTCTAATTTTTTATAATTTATCGATATTTCGTTTAACACGTTGGCTGCCGCGCGAATTTTACGTAACTTGCCCGAAGCGCCAACATGAAGTTTTCATTATGCGATGCATATTATGTTGAAATATTATTTACAGCAGATAAGTTTAGTTGTATAAACTTGTTTTATGCATTTGTCGCGTTGCCGGTCACCGGTGACCCCCACGGCAGCCAACGTGTTAATATATTGGTCAGATTCTTACAATTAAAATGAGACCAAACAGGACTTGCTTTAGACCATAATTATTCATTACACGTAGAAATTGTAATTATGATAAAAAAAGCATTAGACAAATATTAAAGGCAACGTCGTACAAGATACGAAGGTACGTTCAAGAGAAAATGTCAGTGGAGTTATGCTATTCTAGCCTACGTTCGACGGCCACATGGCTCGATTTGAAGGCAATTCGGAGGCAACATGCCTCGATTCGAAGGCAATTCGGAAGCCACATGGCCTCGATTCGACGGAGAACTTGAACATCGACGGTCGTTGCGATTGGTCACGTACCTTATACATACGAATACATAGCAATGGTATAATAAAAACGATGACTTTTAGCTTTTTTATTTCTAATTTTTTCGCCACGATTCGAAGGCTATTAGGAGGCCATATGTCACGATTCGAAGACAATTCGGAGGTCACATGCCACGATTCGAAGGCAATTCGGAAGCCACGTGCCACGATTCGAAGACAATTCGAAGATCACATGCCACGATTCGACGGTCACGTAGCTTGCAGCTTCGCGATTTTTCTCACGTGACTCACACCCAAACAGACTATTTTATGTTGCAATAAATTACATAGGAGCCATTACATAGGAGCCAAATTACATAGGCATAGCACAGGGAAATTCACGCCAACTCGAGATTAGACATTTCCAGGAGAAATTACTGCAATGAAAATACGTTTTCTGTATTAATATTATTAAATTAACCCTTTCGCTACGGGCGGATTCTCCGTCGCGGTACTTCTGCTGAACAGAGCGCTGCGACATCACTGCACGCTACGCGACGGCGATCGTCAGCGGAAGTCGGTACTCCGCGGCGGTCGGCGGAGAACCTAAGCTGTTTGAATTGAATGAATTTTTCGAACGAAAAAATTTTTCTCCAAAGGGTATTTATAAATAAAGGGTATTCCAGGGTTTTTTATAACGTCTTAGCATGCGCTCTTTAATTTACAG